CTTTTCTCTTTGCTTTAAATCCATAACTACTTCAAACACAGCTTTCTTTATGAAATTCTGAGATCACTTTTAGATTATAAAATTAAGCACTTAATACTTCCTCCCCAAAACAATACATAATTCTGAACACTTTTCTTTGGTGAAATGCATACATTTTTCAAAATTAAAAGACTACTATGGGTTTTAACAGGGAAACTGGAAAATTTCACACTTAAAAGAATATGTCCTGGGAAAGTGGAAAGAAAGTTGCAAAGAACGTTCAGCCTCATCATTTAGCCTTAAATTATGGAGATCTCCTCTGATTCCAGATGAAGTCAATAGTCTGACAGGTAACATAGTTAACAAGGGAAAAAATAAAAATCAAGCAAAACCAAACCACAATGCTCTAAATTTTTCATTGATTGTTTAAGCTCATTACAGAGCTTGACCATTCTGGCCTCAAAATAGTTTGGTTTCTCTCATGAGACATAAAGTCAAAACTACAGTGAAAGTGCTAACCAAATGGATAACAGACTGGCAATGAGAGGATGCCTGCTCTCATAAGGCTGACAACACCACATTGCCAGTGACCATTTTCATCCCTGCAAGCAGTTCCAAAGCTTTGCTTGACTGCTTCAGTTTCAGTCTAGTCCATGCTGAAATGAAGATTTTCTCAGTACACATGGCTTTCAGCACGTTTTTTTAGATTCAGCCTCTGGCTGCAGTCATCTCTCTTTGGTGACTGATAGTTCAAGCTTCAGGTGTTAAATAAAGAATTTGGATAAGGTAATTTCTGCCTCCTCACCCTTCCTACCTGTGCAGCCTCTGATATGTAACTTACCCGAAGAACTGAATGGCAGCCTCTAACTACAAGAAAAAAAAAAAAAAAAAAAAAAAAAAAAAAAAGGATGGTCAGTAGACCCTGTTGTGCTTGATTCATGAGCCATTTAACAAGTGCTCTGGTAAAACCTCAATTCATTTCTTTAGGCTTATTTCTTATTTCCTACAGCACAATCTGTCTTATGGCTCAGACAGCCCCATGAGGCAAACCCTGGCATTCCCATCTCCCAGCCCATGCAAACACAAGGAGGAGGAGGAGACGAGTTGCAAACGCTGCCAGTCAGCCCAAGGAACATACAAAGCATCCCACTGCTCAGCCTCAGGCACCAGAAACAACCTGCACTCTCACACTGACTCAGAGTTTCAGGTGCCTGCAGTCAGACACCAGCTCAGGAGGACAGGGAAGGACAGAGCAGCCTTCACTGGCTCTCAGTGGGCAGAGGGAGGAAGATGTGCCACTGCCCAAGAGTCCCTAAGTCAGCACTGATGAAGAAATACCTTGAGTGCCTCCCAGATCAATCAGCACAGCAAACTGCTTTGGCAAGTGCCACTGAACACACAGAGGCTTATTTTCCCAGGAAAATATTTTAACTGCACACGCGGGTGAGCATTTTGTAAAACTGCCAGTGGATAATGCAGCCAGCACCACTAATGTGATCACAAAATCCCATGATGGTAAGAATTTTATATGAAAAAAATGTAGTCCAAATCAATTAGAAAATTAAAAATGTATGCCTCGGAATTCCAAATAGATGCGCAATTTTACATACAAAAGCCCCACAAAATGGATGAGACTGAATTTTCAAGAGGCTCTTATAAAACCAATGAAAAATAGCTAAAGTAAAGGCTGGCCAATTTGTGGTGTTTGGGGGATATACTTATATCCCTTTGCAGACTGCTTCTGATTTTTATTGGATTTTCCATGTTATTAACAGATTTATCCTTCTCAAGAAAAAACACTACTCTTTTGAATGGGCCTGAAATCAAAACTCAAACCAAGGGCTGGGGAAGTCCCTGCAGAAAGTGAATGAGCAGGGTAGTGGAAAGAGACTCTATCCACCTCCTAGCAGGAGCCAGAGCTTACAGCCCAGCCCTTTTGGCAGACACCGTAATTGGGGGCAGCGGGCTGTGCTCCTGTGGTGTGAGCTGCAGGGAGGGTGGGCAGGCACTGACAGGGTCTGTACCTGTGCTGAGAGGAGAAGCACAGGCTGCAGGGTGGCTTGTGAAGAAGAGCAGGGGAGGAAATCACATCCACCAGCCTTTCTCAGCTTCCTGTCTCACAGTGATCCATCCCCCAGCTAGAGCACCAGAACACACGGCAGCCCTGCTTCTGCACGTGGCTTTTGGGGCAGTCCCAGCGCACACTGGTGACAATGGTCACCTCTATGGAGGATGGGCTAAAGCTAAAATCCTAAGTGGTTGGGACATTAATCATAGAATATGTTGAGTTGGAAGGGACTCATCAGGATCATCAAGTGGGTCTCAAATTCAGTCAAAGAGAGAAACGGAGAGTTTCTAGCCTGGCAGAAGCCTGGAAAAGATCTAGAGAAGAATGTAAATAATTCTTTATTTCTCTTGTTATTCACATTATTTATAGTTAAGTTCTATCACTGTGCATCAAGCACTTTGCATCAATAGTGTAAGTTATTTTCACTTCCGGACCAATGGAATTGGTCCTCACGAAGCTCTGTATAAAAGAGCAGTGTATTTTGAATAAACCAGAGTTTTACTCTCAGCAGCCTTCTGACTCAGTCTTCTCATTCCCATCCTGCCTCAACAGCAACATCATCAGGTCTATGTGTATCATCAAGACGTGGATAAACAACTTGGATAACATGATTATTTTGTTCATACACACACACACACACACACACATATATATATATTTATATGCTTTTTTTCCACAGCAAATATTTTGCCTGTTAGATGACTTCACCAACAGAAAAGCAGGGCCAGATAGTGGTATCAAGGCATTACTCACATGGCCAGTTTCTGACACTTTTTGCTCAGGACCTGGCATTTTAACTGACGTATACAGATGAATTAGGGCTGTGGTTCACAGATGGACTTCATGCACAGTATGAAAGAGGATGGAAGAATTTCGGGAAAAAATGAACCACTAAAACAAAGTTATTTTGAACTCCTCCAGCCTAAATGAAGGGCTAAATAATGTGGTGTTTGGTAGCACACAGCAAAACTGATTTTTAATTGCTACATTTTCTTCAAAGCTTATATGTAACAAATGAATAAACATTAAACTATTACTTCAAATACATTAAGAAAAGCAAGTTTCTCATTTTCTTTTTCTTTTAATTTTTCGGTGTTCATTCAAAACCTTTAAAAGCCTTAAGCTGATAGAAGGAAAGGGTTCAAATTGTTGTAGAAGCTTTGATATAAGGATATGAGTCCCATACCATTTCCATTGCCTAGTTTAATGATCTGCCCATATGTTCAGAAGCTATATAATTTTAAGGTTTGTGGTCTAGTAAGAACAAAGATCAAATAACTCCTTCAAAGGTGCGAATGATCTCCTGAGGGGAGTTCTGTGACATTGAAGCAAATAAAGGATCAAGCCCCGTCCTCAGAAAATATTTTAATGTCAGCAGAATTAAACCACAGAGTGAAGAATCAGGAATGCCTTCATTAGTTAAGTGCTAATTGCCCTGGCAGTATTACAATGCTGAACAAGGATGGGAGGAGTTGGGTTTATCACTGAGTCAAAACCAGCAGCTCAGTTTGATTTGTGGGAAGGAAACAAAAGGGGCCTGCATCCTCCAGATGATGTTCTGCCTTCTGCAAGAAACCTCTCCTGATCTGTCCTCAGAGGAGCAGTTCCACCTTCCTCAGCCTTTGGGATATTTGCACTGCTGAGCCCTGCATTACCATAAAGGGCTGGTAATAAAGTAAATAAAATTAACTACTTCCCACAGAGGACTGAGGCACAAATAAAAATGAAAATGAAAAGCAAAAATATAAAATCAGGGGGCTTTTTTCACTTTGGTTTTTTTTTTAATCTGTTATTTTTAAGGAGAAACTAGGAATAAAGCGGCATGAGGAAAGCAAAGACATTTTCCATCATGAATTCTTGACTGCTGTACACATGATCTCATTGGTAATGGGTCAATGCCTCCTGTGGTGCCTTGGGCAAGATGGCTGTGATATATAAAATGCTTCTAGTGGCTGTTGACATTGTAGAAAGCTTTTATTTCTTTTTCTCCCTTTTCTTTCCTTAACTGTATCTATGTCTCCATCTTAAGCCTATAAAAATAAAGAACTTCATAATAGTCAGTTTTGTTGACCTAGTAATTGCATATTGAACCATTTACCACACGTACACAATCAACAATTGTCACACTGTCAATAAACAGCTGAAAATTTAAGCACTAATGGGGACATTCATGATGTCATGTTGTCATCAGTAGTGCTGATGTCAGAGACAAGTGAAACCTTGGGGACTTGTAGCCATCAGCTGACACCCAAACCACCTGAAATCAACAGAAAGGTGCCCTTCCAGGCCAGAGAGAAAATAGAGCATGCTGTAATAACAGAGAGGTTATATTTGCTTTAATTAGTTCATTCCTCAAAAGTGGGAAGAAAAAATTTGGATATTTTTCTATCATTCTCCTAGAAAAAAATGCTGTTTCATACACCAAATTTCCTCAGAGAACTACAAAATCCTCAGAGGACTCAGCTGTGTAGCTTGATGCTTCTAAACAGAAGGTGATAAGCAGTCATTGGGTAGTATTTTTTTTTTTTTTTTGCTACATAGGGAGCATACAGAGGTTGGTGTAAAAGTCACACAGAGAAGAAAGCAGCCAAATTGTACACCCTCATTATAGCATATATATATGATCATGATTACTAATGGCAAAAAGCAAGTGAATTTTCCTGAGTGCTAGTGGCATTTCAGCTTTCTCTAGGTCATTGCAACACAGAAATTTCACATATAGTAAGTAGATAGAGGGTGATTTTTCTGTTTATTTTGCTTTCCCTATTTAAATAGTAACTCAGATAGGAATAGACTATTTATATCACTAGAATACAGCAAAGAAAAGAAGCCATAATATCTGCATATTTTATATTTAATCCTTTTCTGGACTCACTATGGTGCCCATTAGTAAACAAAGAAATATTAGGTGACCAAAATCCATAATTTTTTTATTTTTATTCTATATTATTTATTGCTTATTATTTTCATAAAAAGTAGCACTACAAACAGGGACTAATAAGAATAGTCAGACTGCTCAGATACTTTCCCCAAAGTGCTTTTAGTAAAATCTCAATTTTTAGTTTTTTTGTTTTGTTTTGTTTTGTTTTGTTTTTTTAATAAATGGCTTCAAATCAAAGAAGTAATAAAATTTCCACACAGAAAAAAAATAATTCTAACAAGAAAGGGAGAAAATCAGAAGAGATCATAGATTTTACAGGAGCTACTTCAAGCAGATACAACTATATTTGGAATTATAGTCATCTCAGTTTCCCCAGAAAAGAGACAGAAAAATCTGTAAATCATGGGAACACCAGCCTTTCTGGTCCAGACCCACCTCACTCAAGCATTTGGCCCCAGGAAAAAAGAAACTGAACAAAATTATTTGGCCTGCACTTCAAAGTATAAACTAGGTGATCTAGTGACAACTTTAGGCCTTAAAATAGAATAGCCTCTTAATATTTTTTTTTTCCCCTTCTAAGCCCTCTCCTTTTTATTCCATTTCTCTCCCTCAGGCAACTTGGCTTCATCTATCCATAATTAGACAAAAGAAATAACTAGAAACTCTGCAAATGCACAGTGTGTACATATGTGTGTGTACTTACATCTCTCCTCCAGCCAGAGCCAGAAAAAGGGATGTGCTAAGGGCATGCTTCAAGTATCCTGACAAAAACAAGAATAGGATGAAATTCAGTATCTTTGGATAGGCAATAAGTCAAAAATAGAACCCATATTACTATAGAAAATACAATTGCATGTGTTGTATCTTTTACAGTTATCTGCTGTCTTGAATTCTTTCCCTTTCAAAACATCAGGGGGTCAAATAAAATTCAAAAGGCTCCTAAATCACTCAAAAAACCCTCACTGCTCAGTGGATGGTGTTTCCTTTCAGAGAAGCATTACTAGTGTGCCAATCTTGACTACTCAGCAGTAAGGTGCAACACATGATGACTGCATTCTAAAAGGCATGCCCTGCTCAAAAGCTAAATAAATAGATAATAATTTTAATCAAAATGATTGATTAAAAAAATGGTAATCCAAAACATTGGTTCATTTCTGTCTCACACCCTACACAAAATCACAGCTCTAATATAAGGTTAGCACCCTGATAATCCATAACAGGAAATACCTTCCCCACAGGCACTGTTATTTTGTCTGCTTCAAGTTATACTTTCTAATCCAGTACAAGTGAAAGTGGTGAAATAAGGGTAAAGGAACAGTTGAAAATCCTAAACTTTTCGATCCAGGACAGAAAACCAAGGCCAAGTCTAGCTTCCACAAGGTCTAAAATGCAAAAATGAAAAGAGCAATTATAATATTAATAATTAAAATTGAATTAAAAGTAGTGTAAGTAAAGGCCAAGGGAGTGTTTTTACTTCATAAATTTTTTATTGGTTTTGCTCAGTTAGAACCACAGAAGCCTGTGAATACAGAAACATGCATGTATATGAAATAGTATGTACTAAGATGTCTTAACTGAGGACATTTTTTTAATAAACCATAAAAGTTTCCCTTAATATATTACTACATTAATTATACACAAATAAGTTATGAGAACTATGTTTAAATAACTGCTGTGTAGGTAAGCATCCAAGATGATTAAAAACACAACCATGAATCCAGATTCTGATTTTATAAATGCCACAGCAATCGCTGCTGTAGTACTGCTATGAGGACCACAGACATACAGCCTCAGCCTGGCTCTGAGTTGCTGTGGTGTGGCAAGACTCAGTTTGACTCGAATTGCCAGAACTTCTCAGACTCTTAAAGAGAACCTTGATTCCAGAAGAAAAAGGGTAACAATCACCCTTGAATTAGGAAAGAGTGTTGGTTTCCCATTGCTTCCAAAGGTTCATGTCAAGTCACAAGTATAAGGATGAGGGAGGGACACTGAAGAACTGCATCTCACAAATCTCCCCCTCAAACTCCTCCTGGGATGCTCAGGTACCCTTTCCACTCCCACGGCAATGTTTATCACAAGTTTCAGAAAGGCAGGGGAGAGAGGCAGAGCTGAGGCAGTCCCATGCTCAAAGTGTTTGATTGCAAACCTCAGTATTTATCGAGCTTTTTAAAGATGAAAGGCAGCCTCTGATCACTACAATGAAATTTAATGTGCAGACTTCATAATAATAAATGGTGCCCAATACATTGTTAGTATTTTGAACCATTAAGCAAACTTGATTTTGTAAAGGTGGTGATACCCCTGTTGTAACTGTAATTCACCACATCCTCTCTAAGAACTCTATCTGAGAAAGCCCAGGCACAGAGGATCCTTGAAAAATACTCTGGGCTTTGTACAAGGAGAAAAAAGAGTCTGTCTAGAGCTGTCACCACAGCAATTATGGATTAAAGATGAGGTCTGAAATTCAGCTGTTAAAATACTTAAGGAGTGTTGCTGGCAAGCTTTATATGGTAATAAGAGTTTGATGCTTTGTAAACTAACAACACAAATATTTTAAGTATTCAGCCTCAGGAAAGTCAAAATGCCAACTAGACTGTCAGAGTAGGAAGGAAACAGTAGCACTGAAAAGAATTATTGTCTGACAGTGAACCCTGCCCATGTGAAGCATAATTTCACAGACACCAGGAGTGTACCTGCTCCTCTAAACAACTGGACACATACAGTGACCCTGAGAAAGTTATTCTCTGCTGACAAAAGCAGGGTCCGTTGTGGATATGACAGCCTGGTCAAAGAGAGAGAAAGAAAGCTAGATAAACTTTCCCCTTAATTGGCCTGGGAAGCTTTAGGGAGCTGGAGAGAAAGAATTGTAAACTATCTGCAGGTGGTGTTTGTAATAAGTTATTTTCCTCATAAGATGTTTACCCAAAATGGTGTATTAATTAGCCAGTCATGTGAAATACATTTATTAAATGACCTGTAGTCAACCAGGGTATAAAAGAAGGGGCCCCAATAAACTTGCACTTTTTAGCCTCTTGCTTTCTGACCTAGAGTCCACGTCACTTTATCTGTTCCTGACCCAATGGTGACAGTCAGTCAGTGGGAAAACAATCCAAATTTCTTGGCTAGTTGGCCATACTCTTCCTAGGTAATAAACTTTCTCTTCAAGGGTTCTTACACATATCTAAGTGAATTCCCCTTGGAAACTTGTCATTATATGTATGAATTTGTATTCTTTTGTGTACCAATGCTCTAATTTACCATTGCTCATGAAAAAATACACATAGATCTTGCTTCCAGTGTCTAAAAAAACCCACATCACATTAAGATGTGGTTTGCTTCAACATTATTATCCCTAATGCCACTAATAGTGTTTTTAAAATAAAAAATATTGCTTACATGTAGGTTGATGGCTTCATCTCACAGAGCTGAGGAGTTAGGTTACATGCCTTTTTAGTTTGATTCTTTTGTGATGCCTCAAGGATTGTAATCACAATAGTGATATGCCAAGAATGAAGTGTATGCTGTGGATCTGAGATGTCCTTGACCTTGTGCTTTTGAGAAGGCAGACATAGGTGACAGACCTCAGGAGGCATATTCATGTTACCTGAAAACAAGACCTTATTTTACATGTAAGATCTGTCTAAAAAAAACCCCACCAGGCATTTGACATTCCTAGAACAGAAGGGTTACATGGGGGCTTAACAAAAGCAAGTGGGAAAGAAAAATGAAACTGAATGTGCAGATTTATTCTGAACAGTAATGTAAGGAGCACAATTTTGACATGCACAAAGGCTGTGTTTATTATCCCCTGGAGAGAAGATGAGTGGAGAAGCTGACATTCGTTGCATAGTGACATTTCAGGATGGAAGAAGGTATATAGCCAATTAAGTCTAGCATTTGTAACCTGTAGTGCTTTTCCCCTCAAGTGCTTATCTAACACTCTTTAGAATATATTCACAGCTGCAGCTTCTATTTATGCCATTAGTAAACTTTTCTACTCTTACTTTAAAGGAGCATGCTCTAAATTTCCTTCCTGGTACATTTTTTAATGATTTGAGGTCCTCAAAGGAAATGCATTTTTTGCTGCTTACTATTTCCATCTCTCTTCTAATTTTAAATTTCCCTTTCCTATTTTAAAATGAATTTGCTGTCAGTCCAATCAGGGTGTATTTATCCATTGCCCTTGGATTTCAAGCTTCCATTGAACAGGCATATTATTTCTAGCATTACCCCAGATGAAAATGAAGACTAAATACAGTATTTGTCTTTCTTATACTATGATTGCTGTCTCTCTCTTACTGTATCTACAACTTACCACTTCCCAGTCTTCTGGACAAAGCATTTTTATAGAACTTCACTCTTAATTGATGCAGGTATGTGTTATTCTCTTGATCACTGTACCATCAAAACATTCTTTACATCTTTAGCCAAGAAGCACATTGTGAAGATGTGTGTTAGCTGAACTTCAGAGACTCAGAACCTGAAAGAACACAAGAGTCCAAACTATTTTCCCCTTGAAAACAGTGAAATTACAAGCTATGATGCATCTTGGAAAGATTCACAGGCCCTACCTTGCAAGTTTACTTTAAATCATATGCAGCTACTTCACTGCTGAAGAATCAACAGTAAAGCAACATGGGACAAAAGAATTGTAATGAGCAGCACAATCAGCTCACACTAGCCTATTTAAGGACTTAGCTCTGGAAATCATAGGCTGATAATTAAGAATGCTGATGCAACACAAAAAACGAGGTACATGGCTATGGCTACCCAAAAAAAAAAAAAAAAAAAAAAAGAAAAAGGTAGGGTTTTGTTGTTGTTGTTTGGGGTTTTTAAATATAGCTATAAAAGATAATGAGATAAAGCGGTAGGTGTTCATCTTCTGACAGTAAGAGTCATTTATGTGAAGGACTAAGAAGATTAGAGTAGATAAATGCTTTTATAAGAGCATTGTAGAAGTGTGCAATGGACCTTACAATGTATGCTGATATTTTAATATACTTTATAGAGCATTTTAAGGATGTTCTTACAAATTGCAATGGCTCTTGTATATGAAACTGTGTCATCTATAAGAGCCTATTTCAGGAAATTATCTTCACATTTACTCCTACTTGCCATTGACAGTAATTTGCTGCTATTAAACAGATTTCTATTAAAAAAAAAAAAAAAAAACAACCAAAAAAACAAACCAAACCAAAACAGCCTGTGATTTAGTCCTGGTGTAGGCTGTGATCTTTCATTTGGGAACTGTACTGACAACTGTACAGACAACTGTACAGACAACTGTGTGGGGACTAATACAACAGATCCATATGCTTTTAGACTCTTTTGGGTAGAATACATTCTATTTACATCCTCAGGACACAAGTACTACTCTTGAAAAGCATTTTTAGGAAGCATCCCCTAAATTTGTTCTGGAGCTACTGCACTTGAAAGGCAACACACAAAATACAGTGAATGAGCAGTTTCATCCGTTATGCACTGGCCATGTTGGTGCCTTCAGAGGTTTTATTTGCCCATGATTTCATTCAGCATGTCCATTGTTTTCTTCAGTCCTTCTTTCTTGTTCCAGCTGCAGAGCAAGTAACCTGAAGCAGACTTTGTCCTTCCTGAATTTCCTCTGCCCTGTCCTAAGCCATTCTCTGAGTTAAATTCCCAAGGAAACCAATCAATCTGCCACTTGTCTGAAAACCGTGATGGAAAGCAAGTGTTTTCTGAACTTAGCAATAACTAAAGATAGAAATATCACAAGGTAAAATCA